TACTGATTCACCCATCTGGAGAAGACTCCTTGACCCTACTACTCTTGCAGACACTATCCTCACTATTGACCAAAGCAATGTGCTTTCAGCTTTGAGAGAGAAAAATCCTACTGATACCTTCCTAGCATATGCCTGGAATTCTAAACAGTTTCCTGAGATCTCAACTTTCCTCTGGAGACTATATTACATTTATTTCCCCTTCCCAAATCAACTGACCGAATCTGGTTTCTGTATGCCCTAAAAGATTGCTCTTTCAGCAAAACTATTTGGGAACACTTTCAACACATATTCAAATTTTGCAGGTCCCCAAGCCATGGAATAAGAAGCTACTTAATGCAATGGTGGAGAGGCAAGATTGCTGTACCAGGAATAATTGCACACGAACTCTGGAAATAATGAAACAGAAGAATCTTCGACCAATAGACAAGAACAGAGGCTCAGATCACTCTTGCGCAGGTGCGATTCTTAGAACCAAAGAAGGAACCTTCATTGAGCAAAAACAACCCATTAGAAGAGGTGAAATGAGGGAGAAGATGGCCAACTGGGAGTGGTTGGTCTCCAATGGGCTAAAGGCCTTGTCAAATAGGGGTGAGCCGAATCGACATATAAACCGATTCAATTTAACTAAATCCATCTAAATTTCAGTTTCGGTTTTAGTATATATAACACTTGGTTAATTTGGTTTTTCGGTTTTGGTTTTGGTTCCAAGCACTATTAACCAAAAATCGATCCAATATACTTCGTATGTAATTATGTACTCCCTCCGTCCTAAAACTTTCTTCCCACTTTCCCTTTTTCTCCGTCCTAAAACTACCTTCCCATTAGAAAAAAAAAGATGACGAATGACATTAATACCTTCATGTATTTACACCAATTATCTTCTAATTCTATATTTTGAATGATTGCAAAAAAAATCAAAACATCTTTTTTAAGGAGGGTAAAATTTGAAGTCAAAGCCAAAAATTAAAAATGGGGAAAAGTCAAACTGAGAAGAAAGTTTTAGGACGGAGGGAGTATATTTTATACTCCCTCCGTCCACAAATAAACATCTCGTTCACTATTCACAGAGTAAAACTTTATTCACTTTGTGGGCCTATTTTCTTCACCCATTTGATAAAATAATATAGTCATGTCACCTTTAGAGGTGGACACGGTACCGGTACGGTACCGTGACCGGCAACGGTACCGCCGGTACCCGCCACCGTTACCGCCGTCGCCGCCGTGTCACCGGTTCCGGGAACCAGTACCGGTACCGCCCATTTCGGTACCGGTTCCGGTACCTATTTTTTGGTACGGGTACCGCCGGTACCGGTCTGGTTCCGGTACCCGGTTACATTTTTTTTGCTTTTGTTCATTCCCAACGGCTCCCACAGTCCCACATGCAAAAACCAGCAAAAAAATTAGTGGGGGGCACACCTCAAATGGCTATTTAGCCATTGAGGTGGGGGAGGGGAAGAGGGGAGGGGAGGTGGAGGGGGGAACTATAAATTCTCACATTTTTTCCCTAAAAAATCACTCAATTTCTCAATCCATCTCTCATTCTCTCAATCTATCAATCTCTCAATCTTATTATCTCTTTTTAATTTTTATACATTTAATATTCATATAATAATATAAAATTTTTATACATTAAAATTTGGAAATTTTCGAAATTTTAATATATAAAATTTCAAATTTTTTTCAAAATTTTCGAAATTTAAAATATTATTAATTTTTAAATTTATTCTTTAATCTTTAAATAATTTAAATATATTCTTTATTTTTTGAAATTTTCGAAATTTAATATATTATATATATATATATATATATATATATATATATATATATATATATATATATATATATATATATATATATTAAAAGGTCGAGAGAGTCCGGTAGAAGGTCCGTGGATATGGGCGTCGTGAACCGAAGTTTGAGGAGAGGCAAAGCTAAAGCCACCTCCGACGGTTCGACCTCACACGGTTCTCGAGGAAGACACTCCGTCTCTTCCTTTCCTACTGTCCCAGATCATTTAATCGGGGACGGTATGACGGATGAATAATTCAACCAGATTAATTCTGGTAGAGGGGACGCGAATCTTCCCATTCTTGATAGTCTATTCGAGGATGTTGATGAAGCAGGACTGGATAATCTGGACAGGGACGATGAGCCTACACTGCAAAGCAACGACGTCGACGTGGAGACAGGTGTGCCCGAGACCTCTCGAGGTCCGGACAAAGGTAAAAAGAAATTAAAATCAGATTTATTTGTTCATCATTTTGACAAAGACACAAAAGATGGCGTAGTTTATGGAACTTGTAAACATTGTGGGACCGTTATAAAAATAGGAGTTTCCGGCGGTTATGGCGGTCCGGAAAAACACATTGGGTCGAGGCATCCCGTGGAGTACGCCAAATACATGGTGAAAAAGAAGGGACGCCAAGAAGTGCAAACCCAAATTTCTCGGTTTGCTAACAGAGGTAAGGGCGGCCTTTTTTCTTATAGCGACGAGCAAAATAAGCAAAAAATGGCCGAAATGATTTGTGAAGAAAATTTGCCATACATATTTTCTAAAAAACTTGGATTTAATTATTATTGTCAACAGGCATTAAACTCTCAAGCACAAGGTTTTTCAAGAAAAACAATTAAATGAGAAATTATTCGTCAGTATAAAATTGAAAAAATTAATTTGGCAAATTTTTTTCTCAATTTTAATTCTCGTGTTGCTATTTGTTTTGATATTTGGGGTGAAACTTATCATAATTTGTTTTATATGGGTGTTATTTGTCATTGGATAGATAGTGATTGGATTATGCATAAACGTGTTCTTGCATTTAGTGATTTGAATGATCAGCATACTGCTAAAAATATTTTCCTATTGCTTCAGAGTATTATGCGGGAATACAACTTATCTGAAAAAGTGTTTTCATTTGGTTTTGATAATGCTACTAATAATACTGCAGCTATTCCTAGACTTAGAGAAATTTGCCCACCGTCTACGACTATGGGTAGATTTCTACATCAACGGTGTGCCTGTCATGTTTTAAATTTATGTGTTCAACAGGGGCTAGAAGCTATGGGCGGAGTTTTGATGAATATTAAAGAAGGAATTAAAAGAATTTTGGGGGCTCGTCTTATTTCGAGGTCTTGGAAGATGTTCTGTAAGTCTAAGGGTAAGAAAGAAATAGTTTTTGCCAAAGATATCAACATTACATGGAATAGTACTTACAAATTGATAGATCAGATTCTAAGATATAAAGAGGAACTTGCTGAATTTTTTAGGGATGAACTTCGTATGATCATTAATCCTTTTGAATTTGTTATTGTTGAAAAATTGAATGCTGTATTAGAAGTTTTTAATAACGCAACTCTTACTTTTTCTCATGTTTACCAACCAACTACAAATACATTTTTTAAAGAGTGCGTTACAATCGCAACATGTTTTCGTGAAAGTAAGGCTGATCCGGATTTGTACCCTTATGTCTCTCCTATGAGAGATAAATGGTGTACTTATTATTTGTTTATTCCTGATATTTATAAAATAGGTATTATTTGTGATCCACGCTTTAAGATTGAAAATTTTAAAATTTTAATTGAGTATTACTACAGTTGTTTTTTAGATGAAAATAGTTATTATTACAGCCATTTAATCGAATGGAAAAAAGAAAGAGATAATGCTATAACTTTTTTTGAGAATTTGTTTAAGAAATATCAAGGGTTATACGGTACTATACAAGAAGAAACAGCACCACCTCCGCCCCCGAAATCAAAAAAGGTTTTTCCGGAATAGTCGGTGGCCTTCTTGCAAAGAAAGGGAAGCGTGCTCAGTCTTCGACGAGTTCAAGTGGTACAACAGTAAGCTCGCACAATGAACTTGCTATATACCACGGTGTGCCATGCGATTACGACGACGACGACGTGAATTTTGACGTGCTTGGATGGTGGAAGCAGAACGAACACATGTTCCCATGTCTCGGCATGCTAGCAAGACAAGTGTTATCCGTCCCGGTATCAACCGTAGCAGTTGAACGAGAATTCAGTGCTGGCGGCAACATTCTAACCGACTTTCGAAGTTGTCTTAGCGCTGAATCTCTTGAAACACTGGTTTGCAACCAAGATTGGCTCTTGGCAAGACGTCGAGCTCAAGAGTCATCGTACCAACTCGAATCGGAGCATTACATGAATGCAACAAATGGAAGTCCGAGTTCTGAAGAATAAGTTATAATTTTTTTTTATGTTAATGTAAATATGTAATTAGTTTTTTTAGGCGAGCGATATATAAGCTCCTTCGAGGGTTTTCTTTACGGTTCTTTACCTCGTCGCTTTTTTTGAACCGTTTGGATTTTAAATGTGGTTGTTCTTCAGTTAGTGTATTATTCATTTAAAATATTTAAATAACTACTACAGTTTTAGATTTTTTATTTCATTCTTTCCTTAAACAATTGCAAATTTACAATTTTATACTTTAAAAATTTTAAAAAAAAGCAAAAAAAAAGGGGGGGGGGCCGAAACCGGCCGGTCCGGTACCGGAACCGCCGGTCTGGGAACCGGAACCGGTACCGACCGGCCCGGTCACGGTGCCGGTGCCATGGGGTGGCGGTACCGGAACCGGCAGTTCCGTAACCAGAACCGTACCGTGTCCACCCCTAGTCACCTTTAGTTTTGTAGATCTTTTGATATAGTTTTTTAATATGTAAATTTTATTTTTAAATTTTACACAATTTTTCATATAAAATGATTTGAAAATAACTTCAGTCAAACATCGTAACACGCAACGAGAAGTTTATTTGAGGAGCTCAATCTATTAATTAAAGGAACGAAGCCCAATCCAAAACCCAATTAATGACGGCCCATCCCAAATCTAAATTTGTTGTCTCAGTGTCTCACTATCTCCGTATATTGACCTCTTTGTGAGTCTAATCTCTAAACGGCTAATACGACTCCATCAACGGCAATACAGCATCAAGGCTTTACGCCTTTAACCATTTTAGTATGGACGGAGATCAGACGCCAACGACGATGCCCTTTGACAACGGCAGCTATGGCAGCTACTCCACTTTCTCCGCTGATACTCCGTCATGCCAGTCTACCGGTGGATTTTCTAAGGACTACGTTGAAGTGAGTGCGGAACATGCCTCTCAATCCGTCGACAGCCATGAACCTTACAGATTCGGATCGGTTTTGTACCAGGGACATCCCGCTCCTTATGGCTCCTCGCCTGTTCCGGTTTCCAATGGGAATGGAAAGCCCTATGAGCTCGGGGAAGATTCCGATGGGATATTCATCTACGATGGGTCATTTATTCGAAAACTGACCAAACCAAATTTGTTTATCTCAGTTCGATTTGTTTGGTTATAAAAAACTTTGGTACGATCCGATCAATTAATGTGAGTCATTTTTATTTTCAGTTATTTTGGTTTTGGGCCAAAACCAACCGGACCAAACTGATGCTCTCCCGTACTTGTCAACTCAAAGCCTTTAAAGGTGTCAGAAAAAATAAGACTGGCCTCCTACATAATTGATGTGTTGGGACCTAAATTATTTTGTGTGAAGTACTTGTGTTTTTTTAAAATTAGTACTAAAATTGATTTTTATTAACCCTTTTTATAACATTTTGACTATCAAAAGTTGAATTTATACATTTAAAAAATTAAAATTCAAATATATCAAATAATTAGAAACCAGGATAAATGTTTAAGTTCTTAATTGATGGGTGTATTGCCAACCAGGATATGAACTAGGTCACATGCTACAGCTGTCAACCGGGTCTACCAAAGAACAGCTCCAGAGGGAGAAATCAGAGTAGTGGTAAATCTGACCGGGTGGGCTGTAACCACCCGGGTGGATTTCGGATCCTTGACATTTTCAGCCAAAAAAAGTTTAGAAGAGAAATTCATTAATCAGCCGGGTGAGCTTTTGGGAAGATCCACCCGGTACTTTATTGGGGATCATGTGTATCTAGAGCTCGACATTTTTGGGAAGGTAGTGTTTGGAAGGAATCAGATCCTTTCCTTCTAAACGCTACACGACAAGACACAGTGAGTGCCAATCTTGGAAGAAGACATACACTACAAGACAAGTAGGTGTCACCTCGTCACATGGCTCAATATGGGCGAACGACGCCCTGTTCCCCCTTCTATCCTATAAATACCCATGTAAGCCTCAAGGGGATCCGATTAATTTCTCTAGAAAGCTTATTGTGTAATTCCTCCATGTACTCTTCCAAATATTTTATAACAATTAGACTACATGTGTTTCCACCTACAATCCTCCCGATCAATCTGTATTCACTACATCTTCTTAGTTTTTAACCTTAGTAAATCACCCTAAACCTAGTCTAGAGTAATTTGCCCGGGTGATAATTTAAACCATCATTTTTGGTGCCATCCGTGAGACTGATTTGAGCCTTATTTATTCTCACCCACGGAACACCACTAAGAAAATATGTTAACCAGTTAGCAGAACATCGCCAACTCTGTGCAAAGGCAGGCCACTACCGAAGGAATGAATGTGCCGGCAGTTACCTCCCATGCTACACTCTCTGCCACGGTGATTCAGTTGGGTCTTAACTATATCACGGCTCCAACCATCACCGCACCATCTGTCGGACTGATGCCAGCACTGGCGGATCCAGAAAAAAATATATATGACTCGGGGCAAATACACACTAAAGAGTATAGTAGGGTTCAGGGTTGGCACTCTCGATTTTTTAAAGCGTTTGATAATGATAAAAATAAATAAGTTTAATTTCAAACAAGTATTCAAATAAAAAAAATTATTTTTAAAGTAGAAAAATAAAATATAAAATATATCATAACATAATATAATTATGATATTTCAAGTATTTTACATATATATATTTTTAAGAGATTATTTTTTAGTTTTAAACTAAGATTTTCTTTTGTCATTGAGGGCAAATTAATAATTTATCGGGGTTCTTTTTTAATTCTCTACAAAAAAAATATTTTGATTCTATAAATTATGGAGTAAAAAAATTGACTGGGCGACTGCCCTGACTGATGGTTCCGTTTCCAATCGCTTCGACCGGACCACGAGTGACCTTCCCACTGACCATGGCGCAATTTATTAACGACCCGGCAAACTTAAAAGCAATGTATGTGCGTGTGTGTGTGTAAAATCTCGCATCTTGTTCTTCTGCCTTGGCCTTTTTAATTATTTTTTGTCTCTTTCTATTGGAAGCAATAAATCTCTGCTTAGCTCAATGGTTAGCCCCAATTCTCCAATCTATTTTTAGTTCCATATTTTTGTTTGTGATTATATTATTTTTCATATTATACCTAAATGTTTTGATTTCTGCTCGCCATGTTATTGATATTGAAAGAGTATGTCAAGTCTGAATTCCCCTTAGAGTAGGAATCTGAAGTATGAAAAATGTAGTTGATAGATTAGATCATGTAGCATTGCTTACAAATTAATATATGATCAATTAAGGAATTAAATTTGGTTTTTGTTTGTTTGTTTCTTATTGATTAACGACAAAGATGATGTTGTTGTAAACCTGTGTTTTTTGCTCTCTCTGCTTGTGAAACCCTTAACCGGCTATTCGTTTTCCTTGTTGACGAATAAATCACGAATAAATCAAAGTACCGTGGTACAGATGACACCAAGTTTGACGCCATTCATGACATCACTCTCTTTCCCAGACATGCGCGTGCATAGACATTCATTTTATGTACCCGCAGAGATAGTCATTGTTCGTGAAAGACTTAGTGATGTCATCAATGATGTCAAACCCTGAATGTATGTTAAACCATGGAGTAGCATTTTCCTAAATCGTCATGCTATAGTCACACCACGAATGACATCAAGTTTGATGCCACAATTGTCTCACACATAATGACTATACAACAACAACAACAACAACCCAGTTAAATCCCACAAGCGTAGGGTCTGGGGAGGGTGTGTGTACGCAGACCTTACCCCTACTCGAAAGTAGAGAGGTTGTTTCCAAAGAGACCCCCGGCTCAACGTCGAAAGTTGCATTGCTTGACTAACTGCTACTTCATTAATTAAAGAAGCGCAGACAGTTTAGAGATCCATTTTGATTTATTCCATCACACCCCAAAGCCAAAAAATGGTGAAATTTTGGCTCCATCGGAGATGATGGAAAAATAATGACTATCTATACATGATTGTCAATTGGTGTTGTATGTCTTGTTGTGTTAAATAACATTTTTCTTAACTCATTGTTCTTTTTCTATAGCTGTTTTTTTAATGTTTTACTATGTTCTTGTTTTTCATCAACCTAAATAGCTTTGAAAATTAGTCTCTCTACCTGTAGAAGCAGGGTTTAGGTCTAGTAAACTCGTCTTCCCTGAACCCTCACTTGTGAGACCTTACTGTGCTGTTATTGTTTTTGAAGCCACTAATTTGACCAATGTCTTTGCATCTCAGAAAATGGGAGGAAGTATAACTTCTGACAACGAATGGGAGTTCACATCTTCTTGCTCCAATGATGACAGAACTTTAGTCTTAGTTGGAAAAACCGGGAACGGGAAAAGTGCGACTGCTAATAGTATCATCAGGAAGGCAGTGTTCAAGTCGAGGTCTAGCCCAGCTGGTGTCATCACCACATGCGAGCTCCAGCACACATTTTATGATGGGCAGGTCATTAAAGTCATCGACACTCCCGGTATATATATATGTGTTAATGAAGTCATTAATATTTGTATTCATTTGAGGTCGCAATTGGAGTGGGTTTTACATGAAGTTGGAACTTCTACTTGTTGCAGGCTTGTTCGATTCTTCTGCTGACAATGAATTAATCAGAAAGGAACTTGTTAAATGCATTAACATGGCAAAGGACGGTATTCATGCTGTTCTTGTAGTGTTCTCAGTCAAAACTCGCTTTTCAAGAGAAGAAGTAGAGGTTATTCGGAGCTTGTGTGAATTTTTTGGAAACAAATTGAGTGACTACATGATTGCAGTTTTCACTAATGGAGATGAACTTGTAAGAAGCAAAATGACTTTGGATGATTATCTAGGGCATGACTGCCCTGAGTCTCTGAAAGTATAGTCTCTTGATATCTTTTATATCCCAATCTTTTAGCATCTTCAACTTTATTGGTTTTTTTTAAAGTATACTTTCCTAAAAGGACTATCTTATGTGTCATGACATTAGGATATTGAGTGCTTGGTTTTGTTTTATTTTAGGAAGTTCTCCGAATGTGTGGGAACAGGAAATTGCTTTTTGACAACATCACAGAAGATGAAACAAAGAAAGATTCACAGTTGAGGGAACTTTTTGGACTTGTAAACACAATGACAAATCTTAATGGTGGAAAACCTTACACGAATGAGATATTCTCCGAGTTGAGGGTACATATGCAGCTCTTTGGAATCATTGTTTCTTGTGATGTTTGGATTTGTTATACTTAAGCTGCTAGTTGTGTTTGTCAATAGGAAGGAGCTATTCACATCCCCATTCAAGCTGCAGGGTGGGATGATAAAATGCAGAAAGCTTATGATGCCAAACTTATCGAGCGTATCACTGAAATGGTATGTCAATGAAAAATATGTCATTACTTGGAGTTCTTTTTTAAAACTTGTTTCTTCATTTCAAGTGCCAATCTATCACTTCTTTAGGAGCAGCGGGTCATTAAAAGGCTTTGTCAAGTTGTACTATACTAGCCTGAGCCTGGGTTTTTAAAGTAGTTGAATCCCAGAAATTGGAGCTAAAAGTGTCTTTTTTTACCATGTTTTAGTTTCGGAAAAAATAATGGACAAAATAACACATGAATGGATCGTGTTTTAGTCACGGGAGAGGTGGATAAGAGTAAGGGCATTCTGGGAAAGTCAACACACATTACACATTACGTTAAAGCACGTGCCAAGTCAAAACAAGAAAAAACTTCCGGGATGGAGGGATCAGAGTATTAGTCTTTTTTTTTTTAAGATAGGGTGTTTAAAAAAAGACTAATATATTACAAAAAAAGGTCCTCAACAAATACTTATAGTACTGCAGCTAAAGATCCTTCATCAGACACAAAACTAGCTAGTAGTTGGTGTATGTTTTGCTATGTTTTAGTTAACACTGCTCAGTTTCTGGAAATCTTATCATCAATATATATATGTCTCTCAGGTGGAGACAAAGTTGAGGGACTTGAGAGAAACCACACTTAAGCTCAAGGAGCAATTGGAGAAAGAGCAAGAAGCTCGTTTACAGGCTGAGAAAAGCACAAGAGAAGCCCAAAAGGAATCGAACGAAGAGATTCGTAAGCTAAGGGAGAGTCTGGAGAGAGCACAAAAGGAAACCGAGAAGCTCCGCGATGAAGCAAAAGAAAGAGAGGAGAAGCTCCGCAGTTGCTCTATCCTGTGACAAGAATTCTGTGAGTGTTTATATCAATTCGTTGGAAATCATGCTTTTTCTTTCTTGCCAACAACTCTTTTGCCAACACTGTTGGGGATGAAAGAATTGGGTACGGTCATAAGTAGATTTGGGAGTCTTTTTTGCCTTAAAAGATTTGGGTCATAGGTGCTTTTTTGTGGGTTGCGCCTAGTAGTTAGAGTCCATTTGTAAGCTTCGTTTGTCTATGATCAAACTTCTTTATGGTATTATTACTTTTTTGTCCATAATTTATGATTGATTAAGTTGGTCAACTTTAACTCGAAAAAAGTTAAACTGAGTAAATATTTTAGAATAGAGGGAATGGAATAGGAGTTTCTAAAAAGATATTTTATGCTCCTTAACTTAGGCAGCTAGGTTCTATCTACGGAGGACACTGTCTCAATTGAGACACATACGGCGCTCTGTTCATAAAATTTATAGTTTTGGCCTTCCGTACCCCTAGTAAACTCACCCACCCAGTACCTACCCTAACCTATCTCCCCACTCACGTCAACTGCACCCGGCCTACAAGCTTATATTAGTTGATTTTAGAATCCAAATGTTTAATATTAAAGTCAACTAAATTTGTGAAGTGCAATAAATGTGGGTGGAGTGATGGGTTGAGATCAGGAGTGGCTTTGGTGAGGAGGGGGGGGGGGGTTATCGGGGTAGTAGGAACTATCAATTTTACGAATTAAATATCGTAGGTATCTAGTGTCTTCTGTGGCCACTTAAAGAGAATGACTAGAGAACTGATTAGAAAAACAGTAACGATATAATTAAATGTTTTTAATTTAAAGTAATCATCATAAATAAGTATAAAACATAAATAAAGTATTAAAATAGAAGCTTATTGTTTTTATCTCAAAATAGGAGTTTGCAATGCGGTAATGTAGCATTATATATGGACATTTCACAATACTTTTGATAATATATAGTCATGATTGACATTGTATATATATACATTTTTATTCATATTTCAAGAATAAAAATATGGAACTCGTATTTTGGAATATTTTTTAACGTTTTATTCCTACTTTAGTTTTTTTTCCCTTTAAATTACGGAGTAGTATCGTGTTTTCTAAATCAAAGTGTCAATTTATCGAACAACTCAAATATATAAATATAACAAAGAGCTAACAATTAAAGTCACGTTAATGAGCACATCTTAATCTTCACAAGCATACATAGAAACAAACAAGACACTATAGTTCAAAGTTTAATTAACAAAAGTCTCATTAATTAGTACAACAACCATATTTATATATTAACTTGTCTTCTCCTCCCATGTCTGCATGCTGATGAACACCAACCACCTGCAACCAATATGAACGTTAAAAAAAACCTTTTTTTGAACTTGCAAATTATTACAAGTTCAAACTTTTGGTTGTGTTGGTTATCACATAATTGTAATGGTAAGCTAACGTAACCATTCTAATTAACCTGTACAAAAAGTTTTTTTAAAAAAAAGACAAATTTTTATGTAGACTTTAGGTCCACGGTAATTTTTTGGAACATACTACGTAGTACATAAAAGTGTAACCCCATTAAAAGTGTGAAAATGTCCATTTTAACATGTGGACATTAGGACCATAGAAACACAACTCAAGTCTAGTCTCAAAATTAAGTTTTCTAATGCAACACTTTGATTCCTAAAACACAATCATAAAATTTGACAAGAAATTGCATATATTAGCACGTCCATGAGTGTTTGTCAATTTTTGCTTTTTTATCAAAATTGACAAACTTTGACAGCGAATTAAATAAAAATGATACTCCGTATTAGACATCGATACAAAAAAAATTTGCTCTCTTTTAAGGGCTTTTTTTAATCTACAAAAAAAAAATACTCTCCGTATTAATCTACTCATCACATCTAAGGGTTTTTTGGAAAATCAAGTAAAGACCAAAATACACTCTCTTTAAATTCCTTAAAAATAAAAAAAACAGAAAGGTTTTGTGGGGGGCGAGAGAGTAAAATATACGTACAGAGTAGAAGGGCGGTGGCTAGAGGAGGTGGAGATTGGTCTTGAGATCAGGCGGCGGCGCAGGGTAAGAATGTGTGACAGAGTGATCCTGATCGTCCATCACGTTGATCTGCAGCATGTTTCGAGCCAGGTAGTGTTGGATAGCCTGGTAGTCTTGGCCGCCGCCGCCGCCGCCGCCACCGCCGCCGGTAGGCATCATGCTCAGCTCCTGAAGCCTCTCATTCTCAGTTATCTATATTTGCATCCATATTTGTAATATACTATAATGTTCGTATGTAGTAATTTGAATGGAAGTGCCCATCCATATGATGATGAGGTAATAACTAATACGGAGTAAGTTAATACTTAATAATAATTGGTAAAAATAAATAGGAGATTTTAATTGAAAATAAAAATATTTTATTGGGATGGAGATATTTTTAAGTTCACAATTTTCTTGAAGTCTAAAATGAGAAAGTATTACTTCTCCGTCCCTTTTGAATCTTCCCAGATTGACTTTTAAGATCAGTTTTTTTTTAACTTTAACTACAAATTTTGCAAAATTAGTTGAATTATAATATAAATTTAATATCACTAAATTTATTTCAAAACATAGTTTTAATATATATATATATATTTATAATCAAAGTCTAACATTAGAAATCGCAAAAAGTCACTTGAGAAGATTACAAAAAGGACGAAGGGAATAATAATTTTAATAGAAATCATTCTAAATAGGACTAAAACATAAAGAAAAGTACCAAAATAGGACTTTCATGTTTTTTTTCCCGGAATAGAACTTTGCATTGTGGTAATGTGACTTTGCATTGTGGTAATGTGGCAGTGTACATGTGCAAATTACTATACTTTCTTGGTAATGTATATGACCATGTTTGGTAATGTAAGTCCTATTTCGAAAATAAAAACATGGAAGTCCTATTTTGGTATATCTTCAATGTTTTAGTCCTACTTTGGTCAGAAAGACTAAAGTAGGACTAAAACATTGAAGATATACCAAAATAGGACTTCCATGTTTTTATTCCCGAAATAGGACTTACATTACCATACTTGGTCATATACATTACCAAAAAACGTATAGTAATTTGCACATGTACACTGTCACATTACCACAGGGCAACGTCACATTACCACAGTGCAAAGTCCTATTTCGGGAAAAAAAACATGAAAGTCCTATTTTGGTACTTTTATCTATGTTTTAGTCCTATTTAAGATGATTTTTTCATTGGGTATAATAATAAAGCCTACGCAGTTAATTACGGAATACAAATAATGACAGAATCCAAGTCCTCTCATTAGAAATTATTTAAGGCCTAAGAGTTTTCGATCTTATTAAACACTTCTAATGAGAGGATCTGGGCACCGTAACAGTTTGTATTCAAGCTAAAATATATTTTTCTTGTAGTGATTTCTAGCTTGCTTTTCTATTAAGAAGGAAAGACCTGATAATAACCAAAATAATGCTGGCACAAAAGAATTAATTACTCCATAGTAAGTAGTAGGGGTACTATATATATACCTTGGCTCGAAGAAAGGCATTTTCCTGTTCAAGATGCACCTCCTATTTCATCAACATATATTTATACTCCATATAAGACATTAAATTATGTACTTAAATTAGTGGTAGCTAAATATGTACTTAATTAATTACATACCCTTTTTTGCAAATTTTCAGTTTCAGCAAGGATGAGATCATGCTGCAATAATTAGGCATCATACATATATATTAATATATGTTCAAGAAATGATTTGAAATATTATTCAAATAATAATTAATGAGTGATTAGGTTAATTTAAAATATAAAAAAACATGCCTTTTTGGACCTAATTTTGGTGATTCCTCTTTCAAGCCTGCTCTCAAGCTGCTTCAACTCCCTCACATTCAAAGAGCCCAACCCTTCTCCCACTAGATGCCTACAATAATTTACATTTATTATAACAATATCTATTATTAATTAATTCATTTATTGTACTGCAAAATTAATTATTTGTACGTGGTTCATTCATCACTATATACCCTTTGTGTACTCGTTCATTTTGACTTTTTCATATCAAACTTGACAAATGTATTGCACTACAAGAATGCAAGTGAAAAAGAGACGGGAACTCGGTCTTATAATTGTCTCTAATGAAATACGGAGTAATTTTTATAGTACAGAGTAATATGCATTACCATTTTTATTTAATTAAGAATAATTTGATTCAAAAAAATCAAATTAAACGAATATATTGGGACGGAATTTGAATTTTGAAGTAGAATATTGGATACCTGTTGGAATTTGAATTTTGAAGTAGAATATTGGAATTGTCTCTAATGAAATACTCCCTCCGTCCCCAAATAAACTTTTCTTATTGACTTTTTGGGAAATTAAGAGAGAGAGATTTTGGTGTTGACTTTCCAAAAATACTCTTGATGTGATGGATAAAAGTAAGATGTGATGGATTGATTATTAGTAAAAAGGTATGATGTGATAAGTAGGGTATGAAAAAGTAAGGGGTAAAAGTGGTTTTTTAATAGAAAAGAGAAGTTTTTTTGGGGACAAAGAAAAAATGAAAGGGCAAGTTTATTTGGAGACGGAGGGAGTAATTTTTATAGTACGGAGTAATATGCATTACCATTTTTATTTAATTGAGAATAATTTGACTCAAAAAAGTCAAATTAAACGAATATATTGGGACGGAATTTGAATTTTGAAGTAGAATATTGGATACCTGTTGGAGTTTTGGAGCATGTGGATCTGTTGCCGCAACTTCTTTGATTCTTGTTGATAGAACTAATTAATTTAACAATACAATAAAAAACAATTAATCATTCTGTCAAAATCAATAATATATAATGAACCAAACATTTCTTAGCTATGAGTTTTTTAATTTAAATTTGTTTTGTTGAATTAATTATTGATATAATTATAATTATAATAATTATTACCTGGGTATTGAGCTCTTGAGGGGTGCAGATATTGGAAGCATCTGAAGTTGCCTTCTTGTATCGATCTATTGTTGACTTTATGCTGCATCAGAGTATATATATATTTTCTATAATTAGGAGAAACATAATTACAGGGCCAATCAAAAAATTTAAAAAAACAAAAAAAAAATATAGATGGCTTTTATATATGGGAAAATATGTACCAGGTCTTATTTTCTTTTGTATAAAGTATTTTTATTTTTAATTCAATGCTAACTTTGATTTTTTATCATGAGTTACGCAAAATTTTTTACAATTAAAATATGAATTTATAGATTTTAAAAAATATATTTAAAATCATCAAATACGAGTAGTTAAAATGATGAACATCTAAAAACATTAGACCACAATTTTGGTCAAACTT